GATATCTTTACGAAACGCGTTTCTGAGTGAATCATGGTTTGATTGCATTTGTTACTTCCAAATTGCTTTCATTTTAAATAATTCGATTGTATCTAAAACTTTGTGTGTTGTATTGGAAACTGATTTTACAGTTTTCGCAAGTCGGTATTTTCAAAAATTTCTAATGTAACTTTCACTTAGGTTATTTGCATTGTAAGTACTGGAATTTGATGTGAATTTATTCTTATTTTTAAAAAACCTAACATAACTTAACAATTGAAATTGAACAATTTAATTTTCTTTTTAATTTAACAATATAGTCTTTTATATTTTTAGAATTTACGCATCTATGAATATATTCAAAATAGATGAAAAGAAGATGTTAACTTTGTAAATAAAAAAATAACTTTTGTAAAAAAAAAAATAACTAACCCCTAAGTTTAATTTCAAAATATTAACCATTTTTATTTTAAAATTCCTCCAGATTTTTCAAGCGAGTGAAAGGAAATCTTTTTTATGCAGATACGTATTTAAACTCCTTTTAGTTGAAAAAGTGTATAATTACTAAACCATGAAAAAAATTCGAAGTCGTCGAAGCAGATAGAAAAAATATATTTGAATATTTCGTTACGCTGTATTGCGTTAAAAGCGAAAATTCTGTATTCTTCCTTGCCAGCATAGCTTAGAGCATCGATTGGATCTTTGAGAATAATCGATTGAAGCTGCTAGACAACTGAACTTGCCCTAAATATCAAATAATACCTAGTTTCAGTGTTTCAAGCCAGCGTACCGTGTAATCATAGAGTAAAGCTTGTGGTCTCATAATACAGTAGCAATGAAATTTAACCTTCATAAATTTCATGCATCAATAAAGGCATAATTTTTTATTCCTGTCGCAGATTAAGTAATTGCAAAACATTTATGCTCGATCAAGCAGACTGTTATAATGCGTACTAATTAATTAGAACTAATATACCGAAGGAAATGAATGAAACTGTTTCATGATCTGATCTACTCTAATAAAATGATTATTGAAATTATCAATTACTAATTACTAATTATTGGAAGTAAAATCAAACAAATATAAAAATTGTGTTCAAGATATAAAATTTTTTAATTTAGAGATGTAGAAATTATTAGAATTTAGAAATACAAAATATTCATTTCTATTAAACTCTGTATGTATAGATTTGAAAATGGTGTCCGCGTCAAAGTGTTACAGCGCGATATTTCATGAACTATTGATGCCACGAAAAAGTGTTTACATGGAAATTGCAGGGTAAAAGAGGCCCCATGTTTTGGCGGAAGCAAAATATTTTTATTGTTATTAATGTAAAAGATATAATGGTGAAGTTTCATTTTTTAAATGGAACTATATATTTTTTATTCGATCAGGCGATAGTGCATTTCAAGACGAATTCATCAAGGTTTTATGTACTTATCCGATTTTTATTAGTTTTCGAGATATAACACTTAGAAATTTACTAATTTTCAGCAGAAACGTCACGATTTGAGTAGTAAGTCATAAAAACGGTCTTATTGTTGCGGTAAGTGCCGCGGGTTTCACTCTGCCTGCCGAAACTGATAGCCAAGGGTCTACGATCCAAACGGTAAGTCCGAAGAGTACAAAACGTGGAAAGAATTATCCATCCTCCTCGACACGGAAAACTTATTATTAGAGTGTAATAGACAATTCTTTGTCTATTGAAAATTTTGCTTCCGCCAAAACATGGGGCTTCTTTTACCCTGCAATTTCCATATAAACACTTTTTCGTGACATCAATAGTTCATGAAATATCGTCACACTTTGGCGCGGACACCCTAAAGAATTATGAATTTGTAGAAGAAAGTAGAGATTCAAAAATATGTAAATTATTAGATCGTAGAAATTTAGAAATATGATAGATTCTTAGAATTTAGAAATGTAGATTATATTATACTACATTAAACCTATTTTGTTTAAATAGAAAAGTGGTCGTACCGAAATGAGTTACTTACTTTATACTTCAATTCAGTTATAACCCTTAAAATTTAGTTTCTTCAAATTTAACATTGAATTTGCTATTACTTCATTATTGCTATTATATTAATTCATCATTCATTTTTAATCACTATTTTTATTATAAATTCCAATAGCAAGAAAAAGTGTTAAAAGAAGGTCAGTCACAGTAGCATAATTTATTTAAACCTTTATTTTTGCAACGATTCATAGACTGAAAGTAAATACTCGAGCTTTTCCTGCACCTCCCGATACATTAACGATGACCTAACAAATTCCAAGACGTCGCTATTTGAGTTAACACGTTTACCTCTGTTCGCAGAAATGCAGTTTCATATTGCTTTAAAAGTAAAAATGCATGGCTCATCGATGGAAACAAATTTTATTTAAACCGTATGAAAGCCGTTAAGGTGAAAGATCATTATGCCGTGACCTGTTGCATCTAACACGATGTATCACCTTTGGCCGAAATTTCACTTTTCTGAATTAAAGTTCAAGTTTAATTGTATAGAAATGAGTATATAACGCATTGGCTAACATAAGATTTAAACTCAAGTGGTGTCGAGTGAAATGAATAAAATGATTTTTGATAGACTTTTATGTAGACTTTTCCGGGTTAAGGGTAGGAAAAAAGCAATAGAGGCCGACAACAATTTAAACGAATAACTATACGGAGGAGGTTTAATGTTTCAAAGTAAAATTCTAAGCGGAGACTCTCTCGCATCTTTTCGTACAGGGTATTTTATAAACTTTTTAAGATTCCGAGAAGGGAGAAAACACGGGGTGGGAAAAGTGTGACGTCTCCCGAAATTGGAAATTCTCACTTTCCCCTGCGGAGGTCATCCGGCCTAAAACTGTTGACCGGTGACCCATTCGGCCCTCGACTTACAAATTACCGTAACAGTAGTAAACCTAAGGATCGCCTCGACTTTTCAAATTAAACGTACCGAAAAAAAAGAAATACAACTACGCCAACCCTGGGCTCAATGTGGCCTTTGGCCTTTTATTACTGCTATGTCAAACCTTCAATATTATAAAACATCCTAAAATCTAACATTATGTCTACATTTAATAAAACTCAATTGAAGTAATTAGCAATTGGAGTAAATTTTGCAATTTTACAATATATTTCTTTAAATTTTGCTTGTTTAAGTTTTCAAATTTTCTAATTTGCAAACTTCGAAATATTTTAACTTTGAAAATTCTCAATCTCTGACATTTCTAAGTTTCAAGGTTTTATAATTTTCTACCAATGCAAAATTATTAAATTCTCGTCTTCAAATTTTGAAATTAACAGATTTCAACATTTCTCTACTTTCAAATTTTCGAAATTAATAAATTCTCGAATTTCTAAATTTTAAGAAATATTAACTCTTACATCAACCAGTATATAATTTTCTAATTTTTAAAATTTAAAATTTCGATCTTCCAAATTTACATATTGGAGAATAAATTTATAAGTTTACAAATTTACCAATTTATAAAATTACAAATTTGCAATACTTCAAATTAACAAATTGACAAATTTACAAATTTCAAAGGTTAGAAACTTGGAAGATTTAAAAATATAAAAATGAAACATTTTCAAGATTACAAAATAAAAAATTTAGTGACAGAAATATAGGAATTAAAGCTCTTTAGAAATCAATTCTGATAATGCACTTTTCACTTCACGTTTCCTCCTTCACAAAGAAGAAAATTATTTTCTTCAGTTATTTAATGAATTTTACTATAATCGGTACTTACATCAATGAATTATAAAAACTTTAATACAGGAAAAAGGGATAAACGTGTATAACATAAACACGGAAGAAAAATCTGTTAAAATTAAACCACAAACATTCATGAAGAGTTTATGAACTTACAAGTGAAACGTTGTGCAATGTTTATTTCAACTCATATTCCGTCAATTAATCAAATTGTAAACCTGATAAAATATATGTGTAACTTTTACTTTTGAATTATTAACTAAATTTTGCTGAAATGTTAATATTGATAAGTATTTTTAAATATTATTAATAGAGTCATAATATAATTTATCATGATGAAGTTAGACTTGATCCTGCAGAAGTTAAATTTATATAATGACTATTTGAAAATGATGTGTTATTCAAAAAAATATTATTATTCTTTAATACAAGAATTACCTTAACAAATCTATAAAAATGAAAATGACAAAACAATATTACTTATATGCATTAAAATTCAAAATTTGTATATATATAAATTTATTAAGTTTAATTAAATTAATTAATTTTATTTGAATAAACATAAAAATTCAAACTTCAAATTTGCATCGTATTCTATTTTTGATCCAGGTGTTTAAATATTGATAGCAATTGTAAATAATTGAAACCTAAATTTGTGTTAGAATTCTCCAAAAAACGAGTTACCGTTGCAATGAACCGTTTATTGTCTGCAAACAAGCGCAGATTGATACTTTCTTCTCCATTTTCTTGATCGACATATTCTCTTCCATCGAAGAAATTTTAATTGAATTTTAATTGAATTTTAATTTGACACATCAAATCAAATTTTTAACCAAATTTTAATTTGACACATCAAATAAAAATTTTAGCCAAATTTTAATTTGACAAATCCAATCAATTTATTTGACTAAAGAACCATTACTCTTATATTAAAAATTAATTGCACATTCCATGTAAATAAAATATCCAAAGATCAGAATCAAAAGTATCAAAATAAGAAATCGGTGTAATTTTACAACTATATCATTTAATCGAATAAAGGAATCAGTGTCACAAGTTTAATCGAATACACCGGAGAACCAATTAGAAACCGAACAAGATCGATGAACGTTCCAATAGGATACCTGTCAGTAATGTCCCTGATTTGTAACTCCATTTGGTTTCCAATCAAAGAGACCAAACATTATCTTTGGTAAAGCAATAAGGGCGTCAGTAGTCGGTCACGGTATTACGTACGATCTTTATTCAACGTTCGATTCTGCGTAATGTCCACATTCTTCGGCACTTTCAGATAAAAATTCATATTTACTTACGTAAGATCACCGACAGACGTTCCCTACATGCTCGCACAACCGGGTTCATTAACTGGCCAGTAAAATCCGTCTTTATGTAACACAAACAGTTTCGTCGAGGTGACTGTGTGGAAGAAAGAAAAGCATGCGAGGCAAGTTTCTCTATCGGCAAGGTGGCACACGCACGGTTTTGTTGGTCCCGCTTTATTTGATCGTTTCCCCCGATCACAATATCGCTCTTTTTCAACGACTGGTTATCGTTCTACGATTAATTCGTTACTGTCAGCTGTCAGATCCTTCCTTAATCACCGCACTTTCCGATTTGTCTACTTTTCTTGATTAATACATTATGACCCGTGACACAAGAGGTAACCGAAAAAACTGTACCTAAGCTATGGAACTTCTATTGAAAATAGAACTTTTGTAATTTTCAAGTTCAAAAAAAGATCAGATCACTTTTGATGGTGTGTTGAGGGCAGCTCCGTCAGGATCACTTTCGCATTGCAAAATTGTGTAGAATGTTGGATGACTTAAAATGGTGTTGATCGACGCGCACTGACCAATAAGGGTTACGGTCGAGCAAATCGTTGTCGACCGTTACTGAAAGCTCGCTCCAGCTTGAAGGTGAGCTATACCCGCGTGTTCTTCGATCTTGTCGAATCGCGAAGTGAATGAGGAGATAGTGGAACAGCGGTGCAGCGTGGACCACGGTAACGAGAACACGGTACCCACCAACTGACCAAAGAAAGTGGTGGTAGGGACACCAGGTAAACGTACGTGTCGGGAACTGTCCACATGCACACATCGAACCTTGTCTCATACCGGATTCTCTTTCGCAAAATGAATGACCCCTCGTTCGATTTTGCTGACTAAGATACTTCGTCGATGCGTAATTTTACAACTATATCATTTAATCGAATAAAGGAATCAGTGTCACAAGTTTAATCGAATACACCGGAGAACCAATTAGAAACCGAACAAGATCGATGAACGTTCCAATAGGATACCTGTCAGTAATGTCCCTGATTTGTAACTCCATTTGGTTTCCAATCAAAGAGACCAAACATTATCTTTGGTAAAGCAATAAGGGCGTCAGTAGTCGGTCACGGTATTACGTACGATCTTTATTCAACGTTCGATTCTGCGTAATGTCCACATTCTTCGGCACTTTCAGATAAAAATTCATATTTACTTACGTAAGATCACCGACAGACGTTCCCTACATGCTCGCACAACCGGGTTCATTAACTGGCCAGTAAAATCCGTCTTTATGTAACACAAACAGTTTCGTCGAGGTGACTGTGTGGAAGAAAGAAAAGCATGCGAGGCAAGTTTCTCTATCGGCAAGGTGGCACACGCACGGTTTTGTTGGTCCCGCTTTATTTGATCGTTTCCCCCGATCACAATATCGCTCTTTTTCAACGACTGGTTATCGTTCTACGATTAATTCGTTACTGTCAGCTGTCAGATCCTTCCTTAATCACCGCACTTTCCGATTTGTCTACTTTTCTTGATTAATACATTATGACCCGTGACACAAGAGGTAACCGAAAAAACTGTACCTAAGCTATGGAACTTCTATTGAAAATAGAACTTTTGTAATTTTCAAGTTCAAAAAAAGATCAGATCACTTTTGATGGTGTGTTGAGGGCAGCTCCGTCAGGATCACTTTCGCATTGCAAAATTGTGTAGAATGTTGGATGACTTAAAATGGTGTTGATCGACGCGCACTGACCAATAAGGGTTACGGTCGAGCAAATCGTTGTCGACCGTTACTGAAAGCTCGCTCCAGCTTGAAGGTGAGCTATACCCGCGTGTTCTTCGATCTTGTCGAATCGCGAAGTGAATGAGGAGATAGTGGAACAGCGGTGCAGCGTGGACCACGGTAACGAGAACACGGTACCCACCAACTGACCAAAGAAAGTGGTGGTAGGGACACCAGGTAAACGTACGTGTCGGGAACTGTCCACATGCACACATCGAACCTTGTCTCATACCGGATTCTCTTTCGCAAAATGAATGACCCCTCGTTCGATTTTGCTGACTAAGATACTTCGTCGATGCAAGGTAAAAATTTCTTCGTGATTTAAAAACTTCTTTAACCCCTTCCTGTGCCATTTATTTATCAGATGCGTCAGTAAAGACGTATTCAAGGCTATAACATTAAAATGAATAAAGAAAATAAAATGGGAGTATTTTATATTTAGGGATCCTTAATAATGCAATTTATAGTTGGACCTAGATTTCAAGTTGAAGAGTAGGTTCAAAATTTGAGTAAGGTTTGTCACATTTGAGCTGTAAGTGCGTCAGTGAGGCTCGTCAAAGCGTGGGAAGTTAACCCCCTGCCTTATTTGTCAGGTCAGTCAGAATTAACTTATCACATCTATATTAACCCTTTGCCGTATGATTTGTCAGGTGCGTCAGTCGGAACTAATTACAGCTACAATATTAAAATTGAGAGAAAAGTTGAATTGCTATGTCAATCATCAGTCCTTGACTATAAAAATTATAATTGGAGTTAAATTTCAAATTGAAGCGTATTCAAAATTCGAGTAAGATTTGTCACAGATTTGAAACGTTAGTGCGCCCCGTGTGAAAAACGATATTGTAAGAGGTTAAAACTGATATAGTTGAAATGTTATGTCAATTTTGAATTCTGTAACCGTTGACTATGCAAATTATAACTGAAACTCCAAATTGTGTGTATTGAAAATTCGAGTGAGTTTGTTAGAGTTGAAGCGTGAGTGCATCGTGTGTAATATTGTGAGACATGGGTTAACGCGACCCTAAATGGGGTTGTAAATTCAGGGTTCACGAAAATTTAATTCAGATATATGGATTTTGAAAAAACATTAGTGCAATTCTTTCATTATCTTTAATTTAATACATTACATTTTCTGTACAGTTAAAACGTAATAGATAAGTTGAGATGTAAATTATATGTGCATGGTAAAAAGATAACACAAAATGCATGATAATAGTGTAAGTCATTTGAAAATAAAAGTACGTCATAATTTTTACAGGTATTTTATTATAAATACCTATTCTATTTTACTTTTTTTGAAGTAAAAAGTTTGCTGAATTCTTTTGTAGTTATTTCTGTATGTTGCCTATGTTGTCTATTTCACTATGTTTATTTATTAAATGTATTATATTACAGATTTAGGTAGAAAATACTTATTTGAAATTGTATTAAACCGAGTAGAGTGTCTTCACAGCTGGTAAAATACGGGGTGTTTCAAAATTAGCGTAGGTCCCTGAAATGAGTGGTAGCTGACGCGGACCAACCAGAGCGTGAGGATTACGCCCACTCGGCCATTAGGCTCGAAAGCGTCGCTCTTGCGTCTGCGCACCGTAATCCTCGCGCTCTGATTGGTCCGTGTATTTCTTTAATAATTCAAAAACGAAGCTTCAAACCCCATTTTTGCAAAGGGAAATTTTATTCAGAATCACGTTAGCTACCCCCCATTTCAGGAACCTACACTAATTGTGAGATACCCTATAAAAAGACGAAACAGGGAGAGTCTGTATGTAACAGCGAAAGTTTCTTTTTTTGTCATACTTCTAATTTTAATGTGACATTCAAGACTTTTTTTTATGTATTTTCTGTAAAATTGCAGACATAATTTCAACAAATGTAATTTATTATTTTTGTATCAGAAAAAAAAATCACTTCTTAAGTTATTAATTTATTCCAGGTGTGAATTGAGTAATTTAATCAAACATATGAATCATTTGCATCCTGTTGAATCCTGTTATAAATGATTAGTAATAATTTTTAAATAGTAACCCATAGAATAACCCATAAGCCAAATAACCCATAGAAATAAAGATGTGCCAAATAGTAGCATAGCATCTAATTTAATAGTTTAATTATACAAAACTTGAAGCACTAGTAACTTCATAGTAACCAACGAAGCAGATGCTGCTTTTTCAGATTTCAAATGTGTCCTTGCTACTTCATCTCACTTTCCTTTTTACAATGCAATTAAAAAGGTGAAAGCAACCGTACGATCTTACAAGTGTTCACGCATATATTGTATAATCATGATCCGTATTCGTAGCCTACTTTACAGAGATTAACCACGTATATCTTAATTTTCAGCTCCATTTTCTACTGTTAACTTTGTTGCCTGCATAAACGACTGATAGCATAACGATATTGTACATTCGCATTTTGCGGAACTTTATTTTTTTATGTAATAAGCAGTTCCTAATTGTTTCACGTTTATATTTATTTTATGAATTTGTGGAAAATAATAATTTTGTTTATTGTGTATCTATAATTGTTACTCCAATAGGATGAAGGTTTATGATTTTACAGATTCTATTTGATTTTTCTAGTTAAATATTTTAGTTACATAACACATATTTTACAATTAGTTATTTACAATTTATAATCATAATAATAATGTTTAGAATTTTGAATCATAGCTACAGTTATTTGGAAGTATAATTATAATTATTCAGAATTTAGAATTGTAGTTACAGTTGTTTAGAATTATAGTTATAATTAATCTGAATATAGACCATTTCAGGAACCTACACTAATTGTGAGATACCCTATAAAAAGACGAAACAGGGAGAGTCTGTATGTAACAGCGAAAGTTTCTTTTTTTGTCATACTTCTAATTTTAATGTGACATTCAAGACTTTTTTTTATGTATTTTCTGTAAAATTGCAGACATAATTTCAACAAATGTAATTTATTATTTTTGTATCAGAAAAAAAAATCACTTCTTAAGTTATTAATTTATTCCAGGTGTGAATTGAGTAATTTAATCAAACATATGAATCATTTGCATCCTGTTGAATCCTGTTATAAATGATTAGTAATAATTTTTAAATAGTAACCCATAGAATAACCCATAAGCCAAATAACCCATAGAAATAAAGATGTGCCAAATAGTAGCATAGCATCTAATTTAATAGTTTAATTATACAAAACTTGAAGCACTAGTAACTTCATAGTAACCAACGAAGCAGATGCTGCTTTTTCAGATTTCAAATGTGTCCTTGCTACTTCATCTCACTTTCCTTTTTACAATGCAATTAAAAAGGTGAAAGCAACCGTACGATCTTACAAGTGTTCACGCATATATTGTATAATCATGATCCGTATTCGTAGCCTACTTTACAGAGATTAACCACGTATATCTTAATTTTCAGCTCCATTTTCTACTGTTAACTTTGTTGCCTGCATAAACGACTGATAGCATAACGATATTGTACATTCGCATTTTGCGGAACTTTATTTTTTTATGTAATAAGCAGTTCCTAATTGTTTCACGTTTATATTTATTTTATGAATTTGTGGAAAATAATAATTTTGTTTATTGTGTATCTATAATTGTTACTCCAATAGGATGAAGGTTTATGATTTTACAGATTCTATTTGATTTTTCTAGTTAAATATTTTAGTTACATAACACATATTTTACAATTAGTTATTTACAATTTATAATCATAATAATAATGTTTAGAATTTTGAATCATAGCTACAGTTATTTGGAAGTATAATTATAATTATTCAGAATTTAGAATTGTAGTTACAGTTGTTTAGAATTATAGTTATAATTAATCTGAATATAGAATTTTAGTTATTCTGAATTTGGAATTTAGAGTGACAGTTATTTAGAATTATACAAATACAAGTAGCACTTTTAAAATATCAAGAAAATCGATTAGGAAATTTAAATATATTAGAGAAATTCTAGTCTCTAGAAAAGTTAAGTAGTATTTAATATTGGACCTCCAGTAAAACGCATATTTACAAATTTTTAGCAAATTTCAAGTCTTAACACTTTGTACTCCACTGTCCCCTCTGAGGG